TGTCTTGGACTGACCCAGACACGCAGGGACACGTGACTCATTGGGATGACATTGTCGAAAAGAAAGGGCATACTGACCTAACTGACCATATAACGCGCCCGGGGGTCCAGTCAGGGCCATACAACCACAGCCTAACTGACGTCTAAATGACCACGCATGTAAGACGATGTACCGACGCTATAGACCATTATAGCAAGAAATTGGTCACCCATTACGTGGATGGTGATATTATCAAGCATTTGACCGTATGAACAGCAAAGGGGAGTTGTTAAATATTAAATGTTTGTTGTAGCTATAGTTACACAGGACCACTTCGCCGCAGGTTATTCAACTGTCAGTGCCAGCAGAACCGGGTGTAACCCAGAAGTTTACTCCAAGGGTCAGTGGTGACGTTATATGTGCCATGTAACAATGAGTGGCCTGTGTCACGGGTGGGGCAGATTGGCGTTCAGAGGTTAGCAACGAAGGCTTGAGGGATGATACATCGTTACAAAGAAAGGATTTCGCCGAACTATCACTGCCCCTTGTGGAATACCCTTAGGAAATCAGTATTTCATTGTAAAAAAATCGGAATGGATTTCAATGTACTTCAGATTAAAAACGTAATGAAACGAGGTTTGTACGTTACAAAGGAAAGCACTGTGTTATATGTATGTACATGCTTAGAACGTTACTTGATTGGAATATACACTTACGTAAATAGCTGGTAAATAGCAGTAAAACATTTGCATCCATCGATACCAGCCAAGACGAGTTCGAACTTGAACTTCGATTAGAAGCAGGTAAACCATCACAGTTCGACACTACTTCCATCAAGACGGGTTCGAACTTGAACTTCGATTAGAAGCAGGTAAACAATCACAGTTCGACACTACTTCCATCAAGACGGGTTCGAAACTGAACTTCGATTAGAAGCAGGTAAACCATCACAGTTCGACACTACTTCCACCAAGATGGGTTCGAACCTGAACCTCGATTAGAAGCAGGTAAACCATCACAGTTCGACACTACTTCCATCAAGACGGTTTCGAACCTGAACCTCGATTAGAAGCAGGTAAACCATCGCAGTTCGACACTACTTCCACCAAGATGGGTTCGAACCTGAACCTCGATTAGAAGCAGGTAAACCATCACAGTTCGACCCTACTTCTACCAAGATGGGTTCGAACCTGAACCTCGATTAGAAGCAGGTAAACCATCACAGTTCGACACTACTTCTACCAAGATGGGTTCGAACCTGAACCTCGATTAGAAGCAGGTAAACCATCACAGTTCGACACTACTTCCACCAAGACGGGTTCGAACCTGAATTTCGATTAGTAGCAGGTAAATCATCACAGTTCGACACTACTTCCATCAAGACGGGTTCGAACCTGTATTTCGGTCTTTGAAGCAGGTAAACGTCACAGTTCCTCACTACTTTCATCGTATCACAACGGGTTCGAACCTGTAGTTCAGTCAGAAGCCGAGCTGACGTCGTTGTGATTAGATGTCACCCTACTACAATGCCACACTACCACAGACAACAAAGTTTGAGTCCGAAGTCCGAAGTCACAGATGGTCAACACTCAAAGCACTTACCTCTCTTACTTAGTCTCAAAGGAATCCCAATTTTCCCACCTTTTCTGGAAAGCAGGGTGCGTGTCTACTTTGTGGCCATTCACCAGGGACCATTGCATCAAATTAGATGTACAGCACAGCCTACTGGGCGCTTATTATTACATGGGTAATGCATAATCCACCCTTTAATGTGTGTGCTCAAGCATTATATTAATTGCCTTGTTTTGAGCAGTTGTTAGTTAGCAATTTACTTTATGAGTTCAATGTTCCACGAGAAGGAAATCATGTATAACAACGCACCACGACCAGGATGGGGGGCTAATCCCGGGGGATGGTATAAATAATCCATGGACGTGATATTAATCAACAAGCCTCATAGAACAATAATCTGATAATTATTACTGGCCTCATTTATCACCTAGATGTGCTAAGAACCGTGGATCCTCTCTGGATAGTAGGCTAATTACCTTCATGCATAATGGTACCGGGTTGAGCAAATATTTCCCCACCTTTTCAGCTCTATCATTAGGGTATCAATGTTACTGATAACTCCTGGCGCAGCATTGTATATGTCTTGTTAGTTTCTTGGTTGGACAAGTAAGTAATTTCCTTCAAGGGTTCTAATGAACACGCTGGGGCGATGAAAGTATATTCTGCCATTAATTGTAATGGGGAAGTGACGTTTGAAAGTTATTTCTGTTATTACTAGTGATGAAAAAGTGACGATGAAAGTATTATCTGTCTTAACTTGTCATAGAGAAGTGACGATGAAAGTAATATGTCATTCCTTGTGACAGAGAAGTGACGATGAAAGTAATATCTGCCATTACTTGTGACAGAGAAGTGACGATGAAAGTAATTTCTGTCATCACTTGACAAGAGGAAGGACTTCCCCTTCATGTCGAGCAATATTCCATCAGCTCCAGCAGATGGTATTTTACATTTCGCAACTTTCGAGGTTCTACAATTCAGCATGCTATTTCTACGAAGATTTCAAAGAGGCGTCATATGACTCTCGCTCAAAAGTTGTTTGATCAGGGTTACAACATGCATTGCCTCGGTGAATTTAGGTTTTGCCTACAAAAACATCTTCGCGTCAATATTCTGTATGTAACCCTTTCACAATGACAAAACATCATCACTTGTTCCTCTACAGAAAAATAATTAATATGAGCATTCAATCTAATACAAACGTCGCATGACATATCTGTAATTATCAGGGTCTCGATGGAGAAGCAAACTGCCATTAAATGGTGTTAGTCGGGTGCCTGGCAACCAGTTCATTGACTGATCGCCCTGTCCATGCACGGCGCACCGCGTGGATCCTGGTTCCCGGCCAAATACAGATGACATACTCCGATATAGCATGATAATATGATATACGTGGCGTTACAACCCAGCACGGGCCAGCGACCTCCTACAGAGGCGCGACCTCCTACAGAGGCACCACCTCGATCATCGTCCAACCCGTCCATCTGACATCCTTCCAAGCTGCTACATTACCGCGAAGCCCTGTACTGATTGTTTGAAAATATTTTATATTGTGCTTTTACAGCGTTAAAACATAAGCTCATTGGCACTTTCGTCCAGGCAAGTCGCGCCGAGGACCCGGGTTCAATTCCCGACATGGCTACATGAACTCAATTCTTGGTGTCGCCTGCCGTGATATTGCAGTCATGTGGTCCTGTGTCTGTCTGTCTGTTTGGTGTTTCACGCTGCACTCAGCAATATTCGCTAAATGACGGCGGTCTGTAAATGATCGTGTCTGGACCAGACAATCCAGTGATTGACAAGTACGAACATGTGTAAGGGGACACCGGTCAAGCGGTGGTGGTTTAATAAATTGCACCCACGTTTGTCCTATGTAAGCAGTTCCCAAAGCAGTTTAGCATGAACTCATTTTAATAAAAAATGACTGTCAATTTCTGTCACCACAGCCGATTCATCATAAAAAGTAATGTATTACGATTCCTCTCCATACACTGACAGGTGTCACAGTTACCTGTACCCATTACTATCAATATCCCTGAAGTATACATTCATTGTAAATGTTACTGATTCCACACAACCTGTTCTGGGACACAACGACGTTGATGACATTGACCAGTGTCCGTCACGTCACGAGTCTATAACAACAGCGTCCTTGTGTCCATCCTGGTAATGGATGTCCACTCCGCCTAGACGTGGTGCTCCGGACAGTAGATACAGGGGTTATATCACTGTCCATGTTGACATTTCCTGATAACACACACGTACCAAGCGCTTGACGGACAGCCCTCAAGATAATCCCCAGCCGTGATAGAAAACACTGATTCCATTATGCAAGAAGTCGGAACATGGCATAACGGTGTTGATGAGCGGCCTAAGATGACTTAGATGAACTTCTAGGTGATGGACACACTGGTCTAGTCCAGATAACCTGGATTATACCGTACACTGCGTTACAGAAACACGGGCTGCTTTGACTGATCTTGAACCCAGATATACTTTCTAACCTAATTGTCCCCTGAAGTTCAGTCAGAGGTCAAGTGATGTTTGTTCAAAAGGGCCCATCCAAATGGGTACAGAACAAATTGATTTCTGTCAATCATTTTCCTTTTGAAGGCGATAGGTTTGATGCGAATAATCAAACTTAGCCTTGAAACGGTGGTTCACGTTTATCTTCTCAGGTCATCTATTGTGATTGAATAATTAGAATCACTGTATACTGACATAGTCCTCAGAATGAGATGTGATCTAGAAGTTCATACAAGTTTGACAAAGGGAAAACTATGCATGTAAGATCCTATAAGCGTTTCACGACTTATATATGCCGTCGGTACAAAGACGTCATCATATATTTCAGAGGAGTCGAGGATGTAGCCATTATTGATACTCGGTGTTTTAGTGTGTGAACAAAAGTCAATTATCAGTGAGATCTCGTCGAAGGGCAAGGAGCTAGGAAGGCAAGCATCAGACTTACATGCAGGCTTTGGTTAATGAAATTGTACTGACTCATCGCAATACTTGTTTGTGCGCATAATGAAACCTTATGTTTCAGTCAAGACGTTTGGTGACAGACATTTTACAATTTCGTGGTCAGATAACCCAATGTGTTGGTAAGGAACTGAAGATAAGAAGCTATATAGATAATATTTTTTTATCTTTACGTTGCCCTGAGTTTATGACAAATCGCGGGTATTTGTTATGAATAAAGAACTGTTAATCAATCATATCGCTGTGAGAAACTTCATGTTTGATGATGTGAATAAACAAATATGACCACCTTAAAGAATACACTTCGCATTTTGAGAGAAATTTAACTCATTTATGGGGGTTCGAAAGTTTCCCCAGGATATGTTTGGAAATACATTGAGCATATACACCTGTAAGTCCAAGATATTAAAGGTGGCAAGACGATACTGAGCTGGACATACAATTCATATCTAAGCAGTACTTACACCAAGCTCTGTATCTTTCAAACTTTGCCTCAACACTTTCAGGATTTCTCATCTTCAGTTGTTGCTGTCGAACACTTTGGTACGAGAGTGCCCACTTGTGAGTGTGACGTAACACTTTACCCTCGGACCAGGTTCTTGACAGTTTTTCTCTAGTGGACGTCTTCTCGATGGTGTCCATTCTGGCATCGTTGTCAAAGCTTGTACTCAATCCTGCCATTGGGAAGCGAAATATTGGAGACGAAACTGGCATTCTTGTTTTTTTACGCTCAGTTTCTTGTGTCCCTTGTTTTTAAGCACATATCTTTAGTGCTTGTATGTATCTGAAACAAACCATCGTAAGGTTAGAATGCACATTTAAATGGCACACACTGTTGCATTCTGTACATTTGTAAGAAACGTCTATGGCAAGTATACACATGTGTTTTACCTCTACACAGTGCCCCATGCGTGTATGGTTGTTATTACTCGTACCTTTATGCAACAGTCAGTATTCACTTAGCGACATGATGTGACCGGTTCGAATTCCAGGGTCATCCCGGTTAGAATTCTTGGTTTGTCAGCACCATATCCGTTAAATTGATCTCAGCAAAGTGTTTAACGTCCACGGTTCGTATCAGTTCATACTTTCCTGCCACGATAAAATGTCCAGCCGTGATAAAACTAAAGTACTTTTAAAATAAAAGCGACGATTCCGACTATATCATGGCATGTTTTAATGAATCACTGACAAACAGTGATGAAACCAGGTGTTCGCGAATAGGTAAGCTTATCCTCCACCTACCGGTTTCCAACACACAAACCGTCACAAACACATGCAAAAGCATGTCAATTGATCACCTGAAAAAAGGTTCAAGAGTCAAAATAGGGAATTGCATCGGACATCATTTTTAACACTGACACGTAAACTTTTGGAAATGTCCTCCATATTGTCTACCATAAAACATTTTGAAAGCTTTACTGCAGCCTTGAATGTTGGAACCTTGATCAAATAACTTCTGAGCACAAGTGGTATGAAGCTCTTTGAAATCTTGGTAGAAAGGCCATGTTCGATGGTACCTAAAGAGCTGTGAAATGTAGACATCGAGGCCTGGAGCTGCTGGAATATTGCCCGACATAAAGGGAAAGTTGACAATTGGAAAGTTGAAGTCATCCATCTTGTTATACACTCTTGTGGATAGTGCTTTGTCACTCTGAATCTTAATGCATAGATCTAAATATGAAACAGATGAAGCGGTCTCACTGGTCTCCTTTATTTCGAGTTCAGGTGGGTAAATCAGTGGAAGGGATTTGGTTGTTTAAGGGTTATTGCACGATATCACATCAACGATATAAACAAAGATTAAGTTAAACTTCCTGGCCAAGTTACCTTGGTTTGACTTTTCCATTCTGAGCAGAAAGTATTATTCATATGCATAAAGAAACAGATGAGCAAGAAGGAGAGTTCGATTGGTGCCCACGTGGATGCCTACTTTTTACCTAAATCTCTTACCCCCAAATCTTACATAGATGTTATCAATGAGGACGTCCAGTATTTGCCTTCATTTCTGACAAATTACCCTGAATCTCTGAAAATAGATATAGAGAATCTCACCCGAGTGTCTTTTGATATCAAATATATCAACACGAGTTGATAAAAGTTAAAAAATTCCGAGGCTGGCCGAGGATTTTAGCTACTTTTATCAACGAGTGTTGATATATTTGATATCAAAAGACACGAGGGTGAGATTTTATTTATCATCCAACATCATTCTTTCAACTTTTTCAATTTGTAGACAGTAATTAGCAGTGTCTTCAGTGTAAAAAGTACTGCAAACAGCTTCAGTAGCAGAGTCATAAGTGATGTCATTTGATTGTGACGTCATGGTAACCAGTGATGTCACAATGGTCTGCAAAGCATTGTGATGTAATTTCATTGCAGCGATATCTACAGTGTAGATATCGCTTGATCTCATCCAAGCGATATCTCCTATGGGAGCCAGTTTTGGATGATAAATGTAACTGTATCTATGGTCACCACGTTTTGCAACAAAAGCCCTATGTATCTAGGAATGAAGTTTTTAATTAAAGTTTGTAATGTGGGAAAGTTGTGTACAGAGTTGAAAAATCAAATGTTTTGACAAAATTTAACCTGGTTCTTTTGAACAAAGTCAAGCAAATCCTTTGAGGTTTTAATTCCACTTCTCTCAAATACAATGGCGTATGTGTGGTTGAGGTGGAGGAAGTGGTCTTGACTAACATCTAGTGATACTGCAGTAATCTAGACTTGCCAAACATTATAGACTTGCATGGGCTGTATTTGAAATATTTGTATCAGGGTCTGTAAGACAGACTAGAGGTGGTCCTGAAACATGACATTTGCGTGGTGGACCATGGGCAGTCAAGTCAAGCTAGAAGCTTGATACTTTTCGAATATCGTGTCACTGATAGGGGCGTTGAAGATATGGACGAACAGTTTGGGATGATCAGTCAATAACGCCATACATTGATAGTTTCATATCTGCTGGGTATAACGAAGGAGAAAATAGCTCACTATTACATGACCATATATTGTGTTAAACATACCTCCAATTACACATATTTTCATTAGACACACGTGGGTACAGCAAGACGGGGACGCTGGCTACGAATCATTCCGAGACATCTTATAACTTGAAAACAAGTACATTGTGCACTCAAAGCAGTGCGTTATTACAACAAGCGTCCTCTGAACTATTACATGGATGTGTGACATCGATGATGATCCACACTCGCACTGATAATGTTGATGAGATCTGACCTACACTGATTAGCGTATATAGTGCATCCATTGACAAATACTATAACAGCGACATTGATACTTGTATCTGATGACAAGACTGTAAAATTTAATTACCTTCAAAGCTCTTTGAGATTTCCATACAACCAGTTTCATAATTACAGCCTGGCCCGTCGATATAGCACACACTTGAATTCAAACAGAGCGCCACTCGGTCGGTTGACAAGCAAGTAGGTAAAGTATGTAAACACGTGATCACGAGGAACATGACCCGGGGTCATGTGACGTCACTTGTCGAGGAGGGAGTGACAGTTCACATTTATTAAATACTTGGTGTGAATGCGTGGCGTGTTTTAATACGGGATACACTGTATGTTTCCAGAACGTGTCGCCGCATATTACATATATTTCTATAGATGTATATGGGATTATAACGTGTACGGACATCTTGCGTATATGAAAGCCATCAGTGAAAGAGAAGATGTATTTAGTCCAATAGATTTGAAATAGGAGAAGCCGGTATATCACAAGTAACGTGCACAAGAACTTGTATAACAAGCACCCAACCTTGACTAACACCCCTGTTGTGTGTGTCATGTGTCATGCATGAGATAGACTAACGTTTTGTCTCTGAAAATATAGTAAGAAAATAAACTCTCAGATTCGTATTTTAAAATGTAATTGAGAGGATCGGGGAAAATCTCTCTATTTTCAGAAAATGAAGCAATCTAGAGTATACACATGTAAATTTGATGTGACCAAACAATTACAAACGTTATCAAAACGTTACTAGGCGGAAAACAGTCGCCGAAACACTGCACACTAAGGCCCCAAACACAACTATGATACCCGAATCAAATACATCACCATCGAATACCTATTTCCTGTTTGTTTCATTTTAGCCACCATCAAAATAGGATGCATACTTTCTTTTCGGCAGTTCATTTTAGACCCGCCAGAGGCCTGTCATATATTTGTTTCTTGTGTCATGACAGCCTAGGGCGATGGTTAACAAGGGGAATAGCATGAGGTCAGTGTTAAAACATTTTCACGTGTACTGGCGAGAATTGATGACAGGGCCGGTTCTTCCCCTGTGAATCTATTTCAGTCGACTTCCTATTTGTTGACACCTTAGGGAAAACTTTTTCCAATATTGACAAATCAGACTTAAATTGGACGAAAGATTCTTGCTAACATGCCTCTTTAGCTGTAAACAACCTAAGTCTTAGATTAAATGTTTTTCAACAAGCTGAAGCTGATTATGAGAATTGGATTATTGAGGCGTTCTCTAAACCCTCGGGGGTCGCATTCCTTCACACGCACCCCCCGGGGCTGGTTCCCCTGGGCAGGTAACTCTCCCCGTCCAGCACATCTGACCACAGATGACCGGTGGTTAGGACCGGTACGGCCTCTGACAGGTGCACGTTCATGAAAAAAGTCATTAAAGATTGAGGCTATATATAGGTGTATTTATATAGCGTTTTACCCTGGTATTTCAGTTTTCCGCGAAGGCCTGTCAACGTCGGCAAAGTTACAAAGAATCTAGGCCGTTGTAGTGGATGCAGGTATTATGAATATATTAACATCGGGAATATACACGTTATACATTATTGAAGTTAGTAATACTATGAACGTGTTAACTTAAGCCAACGCGGGCTCTGAATACCTGATTTAGAAAGCATGAGGGTTGACTACCATACATAAAGTTGTCATTAATTCATATATCAATGACATGGCAGTAGTTGTTTTGGCCATTGTGTTTGATTTTTAAATGCTTGGAAAAAAGAGATCGGGTGATTACATTTCGTGTTTCTTTGTACATCTGTGACCTGGACATAATAGTTATTACATTTTTCTCATTAATGCTCATTTTAGTCTTAACCCTAACGTGTGACATGTAATGTACACAAGTAACACAGGTCCGCTCCGTCTAAACACATCCCCAATAAAACAGCTTCATCTGTCTGCCATGTCCGGTCGAAACTAGGTCAAGGGGGTAACAAATGACCACTGTCCGAAATTTGGACACACGATGAATCAAAGTATGAAAGATGCTTGCTGAAAACACATGGGCCCCAATATATGCTATTCTTAAATGACATTATCTGTTAATGTATTGTGTAACGTCTTACGGTAACTGGAAACTAGCACACATGGCAATAGATAACGACTCCACCACCGGTCACGGTTCTAGAGGGTGCTGTGATCAGAACATGCTGCCAGGCTTGCATATGATTCTATTTCTTTATAAATGAAGAACGTGCAAAAGTGAACTTACTTATATCTTGGAGGTGTCTCTAATTCAGACAGAGGCACGAAATATATTCCATAACTCCGAAATGGTCCCCTGGACCTGCGTCCTCAAAACGGACTCTACAATCAACTTGGTCACAAGTGCTATCTTAGTGTCCCGTCACGCGAGAAAACGCGCGCATTAGTGTAGGCTACTGTTGACCCCCGCTATAAGGACACACCCCATCAACATTTCAAGAGAGTGAGATAAATGCATGCTATCAAATGCCATAATTGAAAAGTTTGGTTTGAACTTTAGATTGTATTATTCTT